ATATTTTAATATGAATGCTCAGAGTCCATGGCCTTGCATTATCCCTGGCCTATCTAGCTTGTTCCTGCCAGGAATAATCTATGTGACCATAAAATAATCCATTGCCTTGTAAAATTACAGACAACATGGATCCAGCAGTAAGCAGAGAACTTGGGACCTCTGATACCAGCGAAACAACCTTTAAGTAATTGAGCTAAAGTAGTAGCTCATATGAGTAAGTTGTAGTTTTTATATCCCCAGTGTGAGCCAATGACTAGATGAAGACATGGTCACAACATTTAGCCAGTGTATTACTTGATTCCTCAAGGAAAGCATATTCTAAATGGCCCACAGAAGATCAAGTTCCATCAGGTATGCCAGTTCATAATGAGTCTGTCACCACATAATTATAAAGGTGCCAGTGGGGATAGAATCCAAACAATACATACTGAAAGCACTAGCCTGTATTACTTAAGCTAAAGGAGTTTCTAACCCTTATGATGATGTGTGGCAGCTCCATGTATGTGGTTACAAGCTCATTACCTGGGCTTCTCTCCATGTGCCCATAGCCTACTCAGCCAGAGACACAAAAATAAGATTGGTTCTGCAGCATTAATATATACTTCCCTTGGGAGAGGAGGGAGGGAAAGCAAGACAGTGCAAGATTCTGGCCCAAAGTACTGTAAAACACTACCGCGTACTATCATTTTGTTGGTGTTCGTGTGCATTGAGCAAATAATTTAGGAACACAGTGGCTAGATCTAATTGTATTAGAAGCTTGCATATTTCAACAGTGCTATATAGTTATGTATACCTTAAAGTTCCAAATTAACTGATGTGCGAGGCTCTTTCCGGACAAGAATGAAATGCAGTTTTCTGGCCTGAGGAACTTGCATTTTAAATAAGACAATGTAAAGCAAAATGACAACCTAAGTAAAAAAGGGTAACTTTGCAAGGGGGCATGATTTGTAAAATAATGAGAGCAACTGAATTTTTCTTTATTTTTATTTTATTTTTGAACATGCATTAAGGAAGTTATAGATAGCATTGGAATTGAAATTTCTGATAGAAGGCAAGCCCCCGCTCCTCAAAAAAGGAAAGGATTTAAAGGAGCAAAGATCTTGTCACACAAGATGGCATCTGTTCCGGAGTTAGCGGCCATCATGGAAGGAGACACAAGTAGGGGAGATACGCACAAATTGCTCAGCAAAGCCTAAGCTTAAGTGCAGGAGAATATGAGACTGACATAACTAGAATGTAGTCAGAGCAGTGTGCAGCTTACAAGGTGAAGATGAGGAGCCTGAACTAGATCCTGAAAGAAAAAAGGTTGTCTCCAAAGGTACTGGAGGACAGAGGTGGAGTGGTTGGATCAACAGAGCATGGTGGTGTTGACAGCTGTGGCTTGGACATACTATGGCAGTGAGCAGAGCCATCAGGAGAAAGGAGATCAGAGTTGGGAATTGTTAGGGTAGTGCCAATGTGTGAGACAGCCAAAGTCTGAACCTGAGTTTTACCAATGAGGACAGAGAAAAAAGGAAAGCAGCAGAGTGTAGAGCCATAGCATGATAAGGTTATAAGGGGCCACAAGGGACATCTAGTTTAACCATCTGCCAAGATGCAGAGTTTGTGTCTAAACCATTCAGCCTTTTTCTGAAAACCTCCAGGAAAGGAGTTTTCACAACCTCCCTAGGGGGTCTTTTCCTTTGTCCTACTGTTTTTCCTGAGGTTTAATCTAAAGTTGCTATAGAGTGAACCCACTGCCTCTTGTCCTACCTTCCATGGACAGAGAGAACAACTTTTCTCCATCTTTTTTATGGCAGCTCTTCAAGTATTTGAAGATCACTATTATGTCTCCCTTCAATCTCTTCTTTTCCAAACTAAACATAACCAGTTCCTTCAGCCTTTGTTCAGAGGGCTTCCATTCCATCTCTTTGATCATCTTTGTCAGTTGCCTCTGTGTCCTTTCCAGTAGCTCTACCTCCTTTCTATACATTGGTGACCAAAATTGGACACAGTAGTTCAGGTGAGGCCTATCCAGCACTGAGCCAAAGGGTACTATCACCTCCCAGGATTTGCATGCTAAGCCTCTGTTAATGCAACTCAAAATTGCATTTAATTTTTTTTCAATGAGTGCAGAGAAAGATTGATACACTCATAGCTTCTCATGCCAGAAGCAACCACTGTGGCCATCTAATGTGACTTCCTGCATAACACAGTCCAGAAAATGTTCCCAAAATAATTAGTGTTTGGAAAAATATTCAGTTTTGATTTACAATTGCTAGTGATTGAGAATCCAACACAACCTTTGGTAAGTTGTTTCATTGGTTAATTACCCTCATTGTGAAAAATACACTCCTTGTGCTATTGGAAGTAAAGCCAGACTGACCTAGTCAGCATGATTCCAACCATGCAGGTTTTTGAGGGAAAAGACCATCTATATATGTTATGTAATAAACCTCTAAAAATTACCTGATACAGCTTTTTCACACATCATCACGATTTAAGATCTGATATTTCCTCTTCCACACATAGATAACTGTTGTTACTCCTTGGAAATATGGGAATTATTCCTCTCCTGTGTATATATGCATGTGTAGTAACTAACTCTGATGAGCATGATCTTATTTTAAACTTGGCATTGTTTTCATCCTATGTGATCAGTATAATTTTGAGAGGGAAAAAGTAGTAAGCATTTTTTAGGTAGCTGACTGTTTTTCTTATCATGAGCCTTTGCAACTGACCACATGGAAATCATGCTATGTGTGTGTGAGGGAGTGGGGGGAAGTTATGCATCCATGAGCACTAACTACTAAATATATTTTATTTTTCATAGTCTTAAATTCCTTATATATAATGCTAAAAAGAGAGAAATTACCCTATTCCTTTTATGACGTTTGCTAACATGGTCTGATATAGCCTGGGTACTACATTGTGTAACTTAGCAGGCCCTTAGCCTGAAGTCATCAGTATTAAATAACTGGAAGTTCCTTATTCTCAACATAGAAGCAAGCTAGTTTGTGACAAGTTCAAGAATAAGGATATGGGATTTGTCATTACTGGGCCAGACTTCTGTTCCCTCGAGTCCAGAATTAACATTCAAAAGTGGTCAGATGTTTCAAGCAGAAGGCACTTTCATTCTGTCCTATCACTTATCTAGGAAAATCATTCAATGTTGAACGTGGGTAGGAGGTGGAAAATTGGAATTCCTTCTTGATCCAGGGAGTGATAATCCTAAAGCAGGAATCTTAATTAAGCATAATGGGCTAGATCTTCAAATGGTGTAAATCACTATAGCTCCACTGTCTTCAGTGGGGCTGCACCAAATTATATCTGCTGAGCATACACTTTCCTTAATATTACTTATTTCTTTCCTTAGTGTTCTGCTTTACACATAGTCAGCACATGCAGCATTGCTTGCTTTATTGAGTAAGCATGGGAAGAATTTGAAAAGAACAGAAATATTTTGTTTCTAACAGTGTCTAACAAAATAAAATGCAGGACAATGTAGCACTTTAAAGACTAACAAGATGGTTTATTAGATGATGAGCTTTCGTGGGCCAGACCCACTTCCTCAGATCAAATAGTGGAAGAAAATAGTCACAACCATATATACCAAAGGATACAATTAAAAAAATGAACACATTTTGCTTCAGCTACCCCAGACTAACACGGCTACATTTCTATCACTATTCTAACAAAATAAAAATTTAATTTAAAAAAAAAATTATTTAATTTTTATTTTTTTCTGTTCTGTGCGAGGTTTTCCCTTTAAATCTTTTAGTCTCCCTTCCTCACATAGAAATCCTGAGACTACGAACTTTTCTTTTCTGCTTGGAAATCTGAAGAAATGGGCAGGTCAAAATTAAGATCACTTATAGGGCTTAGGGAAAGTCTCACTGAAAGTCCCAGTGCAACCCTTTTATCTCCAGAGAACAGAGACAGGGTATTGTGTGAAGTTCTTATACCCAAAAGCTACGTCTATACTGCGCATTGTTGCACAAAAAGAAATGCAAATGAGGTGTGGGGATGAATATCGCCACACCTCATTTGCATACCTAATGAGCCACCATTTTGCACAAGGGGGTTTTGCAGGGGTAGGAGCTGTTTACACTACTCCTTGCACAAAAAAAACCCCTCTTACACAGGAGTCGTTCTTCCTGAAATTAAGCGGCAGAATGGCTCCTGTGCAAGAGGGGTTTTTGTGCAAGAAGGAGCAGTGTAGATAGCTCCTTCTTGCGCAAAACCCCCTTCCAGAAAATGGCAGCTCATTAGGTATGCAAATGAGGCACTGCTATATTCATCCCCTTGCCTCATTTGCATATCTTCTTGCGCAACAAAGTGCAGTATAGACGTAGCCCAAGTGACTTTTAAGTTCACTCTAGTTGGACAAGAGTGAGAAGTAATTTAATTTAGACTTGCATGTAGGAATGGGTAGCTGGTGGTGATATGTGAACTGACCCTAACCCTTTTCTTACACCAACGGTACGTCTACACTGTGGGGGGTTTCCGAAATATTGGAGGTATCCCGGAAAAACTCTGCCACGTCCAAGGAATGTGTTTGCTCTTCCACTTTTTTTTGTGGAAGAGCAAACACGCTCTTTTGGGGAGCCCTGTACCCAGAGAAACTCATCTAGACTGGGTCAAATGGTGGAAAAGCCTATTCCAGAAAAGCGATCGGAAAAAGCTATAGTGTAGACCTAGCCCAAGTGAGAATCTGGCCCTGAACTTACGGTCTTTGTGTGTTTGTATAGCTATCTTTCATGGATCTCTCTTATGCTGGGTTTCTCCCATTGCAACTAGTAAGTCCTGAAACTTAGAGATCCAGTCTTGAGGTTTTCCCTGTGCAACTCTCAGTCAAAATAGATTATTCCAGAATACTGTAGTTTTGATGATTTCCACGGGACTGAGCTGGAGAGGAATAATGAATACTTGTATCCACTGAAGCTTTTAGTTCTCCATCTTGAAAAATAGACTCATTTTCATGGTTAATCTTTTCATGGTTAATTTTTTTCCCTTCTTAGAGTTGGACTTGAAAGGACAGATACTATTCGCTGCATTAAATCTTGCCGGCCAAATGATGTCAGCTGTGTGTTGGATCCAGTCCACACAATTTCCCACACAGTCATTTCATTACCCACATTCAAAGAATTTACTAAACCTGAAGGTAAGTGTTCCTTGTTCCAGTTAACAGTGTATAATTTTTTTTAAACAAAATCTCCTAGAAATCCTTGCTTAAAGCCAGAATAACTATCAGTACAGTAAAATGTTTGCACAGTCCCAAATTCTATCATTTATTCCTTCACAGATATTTATTACTATTTGTGTTATTGTAGAACCTGAGATCCCTAGTCATAAATCAGGAGTTTATGCCTTTGTGGGGGCAAAAATCATTCTGAGCTCAGACACACCCAGGTTCCAGTTTAGGAGAATATTTGAACCTGAATCTTCATGTGTATTATGTCCACTGTGCACAACTCTGGCTATGAAAAGGGGCATAGAGATGGAAAAATGTTTTAAATTCCATTTGAGATTATAGACTTAAATAAACTAAGGAAATCTGGAAGAGAACAGTGTGGGATTCAGAGAATGTTGGGAGGAAGATATTTTCAAAAGCACCAGTGAGATTAGAATCAAAGTCTCATTGAAAGCCAGTCTACTTTGTGTACTCCAGTCACTTGAACCCTTTAAAAAAAAATCCACCTTCCATCTTTAGGCCATTGGCTGGATTTGAAACTAAGTCTTCCATCTAAGCCAGAGTCTTTGCACTTTAGTGGGCAACATCGGGGAAGCTTGTGCTTCTGTGGCTTGTGTGATATTTATGGGTCGTCTGTACTTTGCCTTTTATGAGTGTAATATTCAGTTTCAGCTCTTAAAAATATTACTCACTAAGGGCCAAATGTTGAGCTTTGTGTACAGCTCCTGTTGATTTCACTGGAAAGAACTTACAACTCCGTGGTAGAATTTTGCCTTCAGTAACATTGATGTGGAAGATGCACATTTGTGTGAGGTCAAGGCTTTCACTGAACTAATCTATATTAAGAAACTTCAGGGTTCCTTGCTCACTTCCTACCAAATAAGATTTTTCTCCAAATATGCCAGTATGTCTGATCTCAGTAAAAGACCTGTGCACAGTCGTTGGAGTTTCTCTGGGTATATCTGCATTGCAACACTATTTCGAAATAACTAGCGCTATTCCGAAACAACTTAGTCCATGTCTACACAGCAGGCAGTTATTTCGAAATAGTGTCAAAATACTGTCAAGCTGGGGGACTTCTTACTGTGACTCCTGTAACCCTTGTATGAGGAATAAGGGAAGTCAGAGGAAGAGTGCCCTATTTAGAAAAAAGTGCTGTGTAGACGCTCCCTATTTTGAAATAAGCTATTTCAAAATAAGATAGGCAATTGACATAACTTGAGCTAAGCCCTTCAATGTAGACACACCCTCTTAGAGCTCTAGCAGATTTAATCACTATTGATGATCCTTATTTCTCAATGTCAGTTTTATCACCTATTTTTAGAGCCTCTGTTACATAGGTGTCCCTAGGAAGAGCAGAGCCTTCTGGGATTTTTCCAGTGTCTTGCACTGAGAGACTTTAGAACAGATCCAATCACTGGAAAAGCTTCTGGAAAAACTGCAGAATCCTAAAACAAAATTGTTGCATCTGAGAGATGTTTTTAAAATTAATTTTTATGCTCCCATTTGAGATCAGAGCCAGAATCTCAGCCCTGGCAGTGCTGCTTCAGTGGAAAGTACTAAGCGCTGCTCTAAAGGAGAAGCTGGGGGCTCATACTCACAGAAATTCTGTGCTACCTGTTCCCCAACCTTCCATTTAGAAGATAAGAGGGAGTGGGTCCGGAGCATGGTACACAGCCTGCCCAATTCTTAGCTAGCACAGTGGTTCTCATGGGACTGCTGCAGCCATCATAATTTCTTAGACCACACTTAAGGCTGCTGTGTTTCCACCAAAGAGAATCTTCTCAGCATACACCACTGGCACCCTTTTCCGGAAATGCTTAAAACGGAACAGTTTTTCCATTATAAGTATTTCCGGAAAAGCACATCTACATTGGCAGGATGCTTTTCCGGAAAAGCACTTTTTCCGGAAAAGCATCCGTGCCAATGTAGACCTGCTTTTCCGCAAAAAAGCCCCGATCGTCATTTTCGCGATCGGGGCTTTTTTGCAGAAAAGACTACTGTGCTATCTACACTGGTTCTTTTCCGGAACAGTTTTTCCGGAAAAGGACTTTTGCTCGAACGGGAGCAGCATATTTTTTCCGGAAAAACAATGACGATTTTACATTAGATCATCATTGCTTTTCCGGAAAAGCAAGCGGCCCGTGTAGACAGCTCGCAGCTTATTCTGGAAAAGCGGCTGCTTTTCCAGAATAAGTGGCCCAGTGTAGACACAGCCCATAAGTTTAGTGGGTCCCGGAGGCATTGCGCTATACTCATTCCCTAGCTGAGGGAGCAGTTTATGGTCATCTTCATGTTTGAGTGGTGATTGACATTTAGATTGATCTTGTGCTTTCACTGCGGGCCTTTTGATTGTGATAGCTTGGGATAGTAAGCTAGGGAGAAATAGGGAAGCATTTTGCCAGCCCCCACGATGGTTATTACTCTTTAACACATTTTGTGATGCTTCTGTTCACAGAGATTATTTTCCTTCGTGCCATAACACCCGTCTTACCAAACAACCAGGCAGAGATCATGTTTGAAATAACAGAAGGAAATCTAAGGGATTCCTTTGATATTATCAAGCGTTACATGGACAGCATGACAGTGGGTGAGTACAGTGGATGCATATAGTGTTTTCTATGTACAGAATGTGTTCTTTTTCTTCCCAGTAATATTAGATGATATAAGTCAAAATGGGAAAAGGAGTGTGTCTGAGGTACCCCTCAGCCTGTATCAGTGACGGTTTGATATTCAACCTGTCTTGTCCGATAGGGTTCATCTGATGTGATTTTACAGACTTTGGCCTCAGCATAAATGTGGGGACATATGTAAATATAAATCAACTGAGAAATGGATCTAATTACAGATGTAAATGTCACCTTTAAAACTATTGTAACTCAAGCAATTAGAAGTACACCATACAGCATTTCAATGGTAAAATTTCTTGAGTTGCTGCTGCTGCTTCTATTTTTTAATTGATTTTACTGTTTAAATAGTACAGTAACAATTATTGGTGAATGTATTGGTTCAGTGGCAAGGTTCCTCCCCCTCTGGGAGGCCAGTCTACATCACTACATCTCAGCATGTCACCTGTGTGATGGGGAATTAGCGGCTCAGCAAGAGTCTGCAGCTTGGGCCTGTATTCAGGGCTGTCGAGCAATGACAGGTAGCCCAGGCCTTCAGGTAGGGCAGGGCAAGAAAGGTCGATGGCTCAGGCTGGCGTTCAGAGTTTAGCAGCAAGTGGTATAGGCATCCTGGCCTCATCAGATGGCCAACAAGTGGTGGCTCTGGGGATCACCCACTCCATGCGCCCCAGGACAGGGCCCTAACAGATATGCCAAAGGGTCAGCAGAGATCCAGACTGCAACACATTGACCTTTGCTCCAGCAGTGCTGCCCCTGGTTCACTTCCTATCTCCCCCTATGGGCATATCTAGTCCTGAAGAGGGTTGTTCAAATCATCTGGGTAGAAGACCTGTGGTAGTGCTGGCAACTCCTCCACAGTCAGGCTGTCGTACAGTTCTGGCAGCTTTGACCAGTCCTTAGCTCCTCAGAAGCCAGCAGCAGCCTTCCATCTTGGGAGCAAGCAGAAGGCATCTGTCTCCTCTGGCGGCTAAAGCCCAACTGAGCTGTCAGACCTGCTTTTTATACTTTGTGTCCCGTTCACCCAGCAGGAGGGGTGAGTATAGCTAGAGTTGCCAGATGATTTCAACAAAAATACCGGACACACTTGACATTACATCACAATCTACATTACATCTTATTTAGAAAATACTGGACATTTATATTTTCTCAATTTGTTTCCTGAACAGAAAGCTCAAATATTGGACTGTCCGGTTCAAAACCAGACAACTGGCAACCCTAGATATAGCCTCCCCGCTCCCCCCGAAAGCTGCAGGAGGGGTTCCTCCCTCTGGTCCCTGAGATCCCATTCCACCTCACTACAGTGAATAATAGTTGTTTATCATGTAACTGTGGGGTACTTCACTGAAGTTGTAACTGTTTCAACTTTGATTGGCAGGTCAAATTTATTTTGTTACGACTTCATAACAGTAAAATGCATAAGCAGGCAGAGAGATTGCTTGCTAGCAGGTCTCAAACTGTGCTGCTGTCTTTTGAGGGTCTGTCCGTTAGGCATATTCAAGTAAATTCCTGCATGTCTTGCAGCTTTTTGGCCTGTATTAGAGAGGTCCATAGAACCATTTGGCTTAGAAAGGACTTGTACATAGGACACAAAGAAACTCACAGGATCAGGTTACGCCCTGAAGCATGGAATCTGAAGTAAGAGATTTGCTTGGCTTTGTCTTTGCATACACATATGCAAACAAAAGAACATTTTCCCACAATAATTTCTGTTTAGTATGTGCATTTTACACGCTCTGCCCAGATTTATCTATGTGCTTTTGAAGAAGAGTCTCCTTAAGTGGGTGGGTAAAATCCTTACTTTATTTTTTACATCTGAAAATGTTGATGTAGAATAGTTCTTATGAGGCACTATATTTAGCCTGGTCTCTAGGTGGCACTGCTGTATTTCAGAAATGTGACAATAAGGTATTAGCAATGTCTAAGTATTTATATTACTGCAAAATCAAGTCATTAGGTTTGTATTTCATTCTATATCAAAGAGAAGTATGCATCTGAATGCTAAGAGAGGCTTAAAATATTATAAGTTTCAGGCATTGGTTTGATTCTTTAAAAAAAAAAAAACATTATCAAGATCACTGTAGCTACAGTAGTTTTCTTCCATTGCATTTGTTCTTATCTGAAAAAAATAATACCATGCATGGAATTATGACTGGCCATGACACTTGCTAGAGGGAACAATAGGACTTAAAGAAAATGGCACTTAACTAAATAAGCTGACTACATATTTTATAATATGTAGGAGAAGGATGGTCTTGCACACAAATCTAAGAATCAGTTGACCTAATCTACATACCCAGCTGCTGAGGAAACTTTCTGGCTGACGTTTATCTTCTTTGCTCCTACACTTCCTTGCAGAGGTGGTGAGGCTTAATGAATTCTTATATGTAAGAACACTTTGAAGTTAATGCAGACAGAGCTACAAGGGTGCAAAGTGTCATTGTGTATTTAATGTTCTGGATGGATTCGGTTTACATTGCTGAATGGCAATTCAGGGCTTGAATAGTGGGAGCAGGAACGGGACCCCATTTTGCAAATTTCCACTTAAAAACAACGATGAACTAAACTATCTGCCCTTCTTTCAAACTATTTTCATAGGTATCAATTGGAAATTAGAGATGGCCATAACTCTAATTCTAGAAAAAAATGATGAAAAGTTCAGAGGGAAAAAGCCGTGTAGTTTACATGAAGGGATAGGGATTCAGGCCACTAGTTTGAATGCATGAAATCAAGGACACAGATTGGTGCTGTTAGCAGCAACTCCACTGCTCATATTATATTTTTTAATTTTAATATCTCCCAGAAGTGTTCGAGGAATAATGCCTTTTGTTGACAGAGTTCTGTCGACAGAAGGCGTTATTGCATCTACACTGTCCTTTGCGTCTACACTCTCAAGCCGGTTTGTTGACAGAACTGGATGCAGTCTAGACGCTCTTTGTCAACAGAAGCTTTGTCGACAAAAACCTGTAGTCTAGACGTACCCTATGATGGCAAATTTCAGTCTGTTGTAGGCTCTTCAGAAGAAGTGGGTCTACAGGAGAGCTTTTAAAAAGGAACAGTACTAGCTTGATGGACTAGATCAGGGAAGGTGTGGAAGATAGCAGGGAGATGGTTGTTGATAGAGAGAGACAGAGAAGGTCTGTCTAGACTACAGGGTTTTTTTTTTTTTTTTTAAAAGGGGCTTTTTTTTAAAAAAAAACTTCCCCTACATCTAGACTGCTGCCGCGTTCTTTCGATAGTAAATCAAAAGAATGTGGCAGTTTTTTTGACTGCGGAAAACCTAATTTTATGAGGAAGAACACCTTTTTTCGAAAGTGCACTATGTAATGCAAACTGTGTATCTTTCAAAAAAGCCTCTTTCAAAAGAGGCTTGCAGTCTAGATGTAGCCTAAGAGACAACATCAGATGAGTAGAGAAGATTTATATAGACCCAGAAGACAATGGCACAAAACCTGAAGAAAGTTGCCACAGGTTCCCTTGGGTACCTGAAGTGTGCTACAGGTGAGTGAAAGCAGAAAGCCTGCAAGGAATGGAAGATGGGTGGATCAGCAAGGAAATTATCTCTTGAAGCTCAGAAAGTTTATGAATAAAGTGAAAACTGGCAAAAACCAAGCAGATGGACCTGCAAAGGGAATTAAAACGAATAGAAAAAGATTCTTTAGCAGTATATATAAAAAGAAAACAAGGAAAGAAGTGGAATCACTGAGCACTGAGGATGGGGTATAAATTACAGGTAATTGAGACATGACCCAATACCTAAACCAGGGGTGGCCAACCCGTTAGAGACGAAGAGCCAAAATAGCGGTGTATAGAGCACGAAGAGCCACATACCGGGGGGAGGGCAGGGGAGCTGTTGAGCCAAAAAAACTCCCCAAAAAAACCCATGCCGCGCCAGGGAAAAATAGGTGCCAGTACACTGTCCTGGGGCATACCATCACAAAAAAAACACTGGGAAGGGTGAGAGGTACAAGCTGTGGGAGGGAATTTGGGTGCAGGAGGAAGTAGAGAAGAGGATGCTGACTCAGGGAGGGGGCTCCAGGCTGGAGAGTGTTGGTTAGGGGGAGGGTTGGGGTGCTGAGCAAGCCGCAGGCTTGTGGCTGGGGGGGGGGCGGGGGTTGGGGGGGGGGGCGTGGGGCAGGGAGTATGATGGGCTCAGGACACAGATTTGCAGATGGTGCTGGAGTGTTGTGTCAGAAGACTGGGGATGTGGGGGTGCAAGAGTTTGGGGATGTGAGTGGCTCAGGACAGGGGGTTCCAGTGTATGATAGGCTCAGGTTTAGAGTCTGGGGGGTGCAGAAGTGTTATGATGTTGCGGCCAGATGGGGGCTTGGCCCCAATTGAGGGCTTGTTGGTCAGGCTTCATTTTTAAATAAAATATTATGTCAACACAAAATGTTTCAGTGTTGTCTTTGAGAGGGGCGAGGAACCTGTTTTGAGTCAGGTTCACTGACCCACAGAAAAGTTAGTCGGGGCCACGCAAGTGAGATGCAAAAAAACCTAACCCCCCCCCCAAGCCTCTCTAATGTGGCCCCAACTGTGCTGGTGGGGCAGGGTGCCCATGGGAGATGGGGGACAGGGTGCTAGAGGGGGACAGCGGAGGCGGGGCACAGGGGGCAGGGCTCGCTGCTCTTCCCCTCCCCTTCCCCGGCACCCCCTGCTCTAATCCAATCTCCTCCCCTTCCCCAGAGCCAGGCACATTTCCCCGCCCCAACCCAATCCCCAACCTAATTCTTGGGTCCCGGAGCTGCCGCTACAGCCATGCATGTCTCTTTCCAGGTGCTGGGGTGCATGCACTGAGTGGGCAGCCTTGAGATGTGCTGCCTGGGATGCTGTGTGCCCCCCGCCCCCCAACCCAATCCCTCTCCCTTCCACCAGACTAGAGCAGGCATACCCTCCACCTCGCTCTAACCTAATTCTTGGGTTCTGGAGCCGCCACTACAGACACATGTCTCCCTCCAGGTGACGC